GGACGCAGCCTGAGCCAGAGCAGCCCGCTCCGGTAACAGAGACTCCAGTTACAGAACAAGAAGGTTCTACTGGGGAGCAAGGTGAAGAGGAGGCAGCTGACAAGGAAGGCACAGCAGAGGGAAGTGCTACGACGCAGCCTGAGCCGGAGCAGCCCGCTCCGATAACAGAGACTCCAGTTACAGAACAAGGTTCTACTGAGGAGGAACTTCAAAAGGGGGTCGGTAGTGAAGATGAGGAGGGATACTCCACTCCTCCAACCATTGTGGAAGATCAAGGCGCACGTACCCCCCCATATCAGAAGTACTATGATCCGGATTCTGATGATTCCCAATGGTCAGATTAATTTGCTTGGAACACCCAACGCCTTTGTAACAACGCCTTGCGAGGCTTTTCGAATAAGGAAGATAATGATGGCAATGCAGACTAGCCTCTTGTAAATATCGCTGGACGGCTGTTCAGAGAGTTACCTGGACGAATGTATCTCCCAGGAGCTTCATTCCGTACGAGGCATTTGAGTGAAGTCGTTTGAAAAGCGCGGCGGAATATTGCTAAGATGGTGGCGATGCAGCTAGTACACTTAATGCTCCTGCGTTGACAAGGGAAAGCGCGAACCGCGTGGTTCCTTGGATTCCTGGTTCCTCCGTTGACGAGGAGCGTGATCTTTGAAATGTTTGGCCATTAACGTAGTCAGGGAGGACAGGGTTTCATGCGAACACAGCAATTCCCCTTTCATTATGCTTTCTACCTCAATGGTGCTTATCTTAGTCTAGCACCAACCACTGCCACTGCTGATACGGATGCATTTAAGAGGTGTGAGCGACGAATCCGTATTGGCTTTCACGCCTGTGGGCACGTAGCCCTTTGCGGCTCTGCTGTTGCTCCACGTTCACCTTCATTACTTGCAGGAGTATACTTTCAGCATGCGTGGCCATTTTTCTTTGCCATTTAGTCAGATTGGTGGCCCTCAGGAAATCTCAACTCGACTATCATGGCAAATGCCAAGATAAGCAAATTGCAGCAAAGATGAACTTAGCTGGAAATGTCGCGAATGTGCATAGAGGCACGACGAAATGGGTACTCTCCCCTCATTCTACGTTAAGCGGTAAGTGCAAGCGCCGCTTACGTGATGGGGCCAGTAAAATTAGGCAGTACTGGCCCTTACTCCATTTAATCCAACGGACAGTTATTGTGACTTCCTGTAGCTGAGAACAAGCTCGTCTCCCCAAACTTCCACACCTCGTTAAACACGTGCTCAAGCGTACGCAGATCCAGTAATGACCCAGTGCTCTAGACCGATCATGCGGTAGTTATGAACTCAAAAGTGCTGGAGCTTTATGACCTCCATTCGGCCAATGCTCGTGCAACAGCATATTAACGTTGGAAGCTGAGCTGCAATAAGAAGCGTCATTGATAGCGGTCGCAAGCATAACTGAAAGCCATAGTTAAGGTTGCTTAGTGTAGACGATGAGCTGTGACTCAGGGCCAATAAGCTACTGCAAAGTTTGTCTCCCTGAGGTTGAAACTGAATGCTTGCTTAAAGCACTAATTGTCAACTAGTAATTGATCATTACTTATTTAATATGCTTCGTGCCCGACGTTATAGGTTTGCTTTAAAGGGCGTATTACGCATGCGGTTTTGGAGGGTTCGTGATTGCTACAGCATTCTGCAGCATTCTGTTTCATTACATAATTCATGTTAGCTGCCCATGTAATCTGTTAGGGGCCTGTGCATGGAGAACAATCATATACATTCTAGTTGCATGTATCGATGGTAGTTTGCAAAGGTTTTCATGCGTGGTTGTCTTGGTGACTAAAGTGCACCAGCAAATGCTTCAACGCAGGAGAGAAGCGTCCTTACAGACATCAAGTGGAAGACGCTGTGCTGGTATCTGAGCTGCACTCAGGTTCTTTGAAATACGGATGCGGATCAGCAGCTGTTTAGGAACAACTATCCACAATAATTTGCCTATATTGCTGCTCAGCACACTGCTAAGCTACACCTATGAGAATACCCTACACTGGGTGGAGCAGCATTTTTAGGCGGCTGCTTGTCGCTAAGCCCCCCAGTCAACTGGTCTGCATGATGTAAGACACTGCTTCATCCTACAAGCAAAGCTGTCTGCAGAAAGGAATGAAATATAAAAATTCATCCGTCTATTTATTGCCATGTATAGCACACACACTGCATTACATCGAAATTCATTGTCGTTCATGTTCGTACCCTCATCGACAAGAGCAGAGGCAGTGGCAAACCTGATTAGTTGAACAGGGGGAACTTATCGGTACTGCGCATCACGGAGAACTATCAGTTCCTTCTGGAACTCCCACGGCAACCCACGGGATACTGTACCAGCAGTTCACTGGAGAATGCCGCTGGGAAAAACAGTCAACAGGCCCATGGGCAGTGGAAAGCGAGGTAAGGCGTAAACGGGAGGAACACGTTGAATTCTTGCAGTACTTGAGAGACAAAAAGAGTTGGAGAGCATCCTATCTCCCTCAGAATAACGATGGTCATGATTTGACACAGATGTGGAGCTTAGATGAATTCACGCTGTACGTAACAGGCAGACCTGACACAAGACAAGCGCGAGCAGAGCGCAAACCCGCGGAAACCACACAGCAAATGCGGCACCCAGAAACTGGGAAGGCGTACCAAGGGATGCACTTGCAGTTTTCGCAATACTCAATTCCCCATAATTCGATGCCAAATTTTCAATAAGCTCTAGGAGAATGAGTCTCTTGGCGCAACGTCTCCGGCTGAACCAACGAGCCAAACAGGGAACACCCTGGCCTCTCAAAGCGGGCGGCACAATGACGGGGCAAAACGGCCTGACAGCATTTCCACCATGGCCTTTTGCGTACGCTTTGTTGCTCTAATATTCAAGAGCTCACAACACACTATAAAGGCAAACGGCGTTAAGCCCGTAAGGTCCACCCAAACGATTTGTTCCTGCGAATTCGCACGAATCGCAAGGTAGGTGGGGAGGTAGATGAAGGAAGAAGCTGATATGCAGTTGGTAGGGTTCTTCGTGTGCTCCCTCAGGTCATCATGTTGGCTTACGTCGTAAAACCACCTGGTCGGTCTCTGATCAACGAGTTGGCTTTCATCCCTAATTGGAAGACATTTGGGAGATCCCACTAGGCCATGATTCTCGGTTCCCTAAGAACATAGAGATAATCGCTGAAACTCTCCCAATCTCTCCCTAGAAACTGCAACAACCTCACTGAAAGGACAGTTGGAGAAATCAGAGTTCCTAGACTTACCTGCAATGACCGCGCATAGGCAGCATAGGATATAGAGAGCTAGACTAGTGCAGTGCATCTCGATGACCGAGAAAACTCGCCCTGCTTTCTGAGGATCCGTTGATCTGAACAGTTACGTAGGAACAATCAAGCGCCCACATGGGCCCATACGTGCCTAATACGCTCGTACGGGCGAGCACTGCAGCTTAGTTTTGGCGGCGTGCAGGCGTTTGGGGACAAGTACTCTGTCGCGTGAAGAAAAAGGGGTCGTTGTAGCCGTCTACCCTACGGGGCAACAATTATTTTTCGGTTGTGTGGTGCACACCGAGCTAAAAATGAGTATAGGGAAATGTGCACCACACAACCGAAAAATAATTGTTGCACCGTGGGGTAGACAGCTACAACGACCCCTCCTTTTTTACGCGACAGAGCACTTGTCCCCAAACGCTTGAACGCCGCCAAAACTAAGCTTTTACACACAATCACCGAGCTAAATATGAGTATAGGGAAATGATTGTTTGTCCCTTTTCAGAAATTAGCCAGGGACCATGCATCAACCGTTTTGATGTTGCACTATGGAGGATTGTTCAGCCATACTGCGCACATTAGTTTGGGTTGCCTGCACGAAGAAATGGCAGCCAAGCAGGGAAAACGACATACAGAATTGTATGCGACCAGTATGCACCGCACTACGGCCTCGAGGTGACTTAAGAAGTGGTGGTATTTCATGGCAGGCAATTCACCGTTCAAACTGCTCATCAGTCCCGGACACACCTGACGAAGATTGTATATCCTGCCGAAACAATGGAGTTGTTCGGTGGTCGGGCGAGCTCACGCAGGGCGACTTCTGCACCAAACATATCAAAATTAGCAACAACATGGAATTTAAATCACGCAGCCGACGCCCTGCCGGTCCAGCGCTGAGATGTATCTGGTGCAATAACTCCTACTCTTTCGCATATTGTGTTTTTCGCACTCTTTAGATACTGACGAGGCAGCAATTATTGAGAACGCCAACAGTGAGGAGCTGATGCAGCGCTACTACATCGATGGGGAACTCTTGTAATATCAGACGAAGTGCGTACTCCGCAGGCTATATGCTGCAGCTTTGACTCGATATTCTACGAAAAATGCACGTTCAGGTTTTTAGTGACCAATACACTGAATGGCAAGGCCCCTTTGGTGTCCTATGGTAAGCGCCTCTGCTGGCGAATTCGTCTTCATGTTCATGCAAAGTCAGTAGCAAATGACGCGGGACACCCTTGAACCTTGGAAAGCTATCCCCACACGCCTCCAGCTTCTGAATTCCAAATGCACTTGACAACATCTAGGGGTTGAGCAAGTCACGTGAATTCCTGGAAAGAAACTGCACTAAACATTTTTTAGCGCTCTCTTTCAACCCGTACGTCGTTGCTTGGGCGGATTCATACGCTCTCCCAGGTGCATAATGCCGAGCCGTAGAAGAAGCACACTCTGTTTTGGATTGGATCGTTTGTTGTTCATTCTCGGGCAAACGATTCGGCCTAACTTAAGGAATTCATCATCAAGTAACTGTTGCTTGTCGAAAACTCTTCAGTGAGCCACAAGAATATTCCGGAGCTCTCCCCACAGAAAAGGCAACAAAGTTGTCGTGACACTGAAGAACAGGAGACTGAGAGCCTTAGTAGACGGCTAACCGTCCTACCATGCTACGAAAGCCAAGGATATTGCGTTCAGTGACAACAGGATATACAAACTTAATATCTTTCTAAGGATTTCTTGCTCGATGCAGTTTCTTGGAAGCAGGAGCACGCATGTACCTTCTACGGCAATCCTGTAGTCACGACAAGTATGCACAATTGCAGGGGCGAGGGAATTCGGGTCGCGTTCAACTATTAAGCAGCAGCTGCGTACCTAGGGTGAAAGGATGAGCTATCTTCCCAGTATCTTGTTCTGGTGCTCTCATTATTTAACCCCTACGACCATCCACGCTTCTTCTAACCGTAGACACCTCGGCACAGGGTATGACTGTGAATTATTTCACATTATGGCACGGTACCTCCAGCTCTTGGCAAGCCCGGCCCCAGACCACGCGCTTCTGCATGCGCAGCGGCAGCACCCCTCTACCATCATTTTGTTAGAAAAGACTGGCATGACAGCCTCTGAAAGTATCTTCCAAACCATTCTTCATACGCAGAGAGCCTTAATCGAGTAATGAGGAGGCGCCGGAGAGGGTTCTCAATACAACCAGGGGATATGCAGCGGCAGCGGTATAGCAGGTTACCAGTTCCCACTGTTGGTGCCCATTTCTTTTTGTTCTTCATTCCGGATTGGGGTACCAGGGAACAAGGACGTATGCAGCTTGAACGAGAGGGGAGGGACAAATGTAGCACGATGCGTGATTAGTTGGTCCAAATGGCACTAACTGCGTGTATGCTGGCGAGCGATGGCCAAATAGGTGCCCATCAATCCTCTGCAGTGTTAGTGCCTGAAAAAAAAGGAGGCACGGGTGTACGTGAATAGCACTGTTGGCACCTTGAGCTGGAATGTAACGTGAGTCTTCAACTTTATCCAAGGACTACTGCGAGCTACAGTTGAGCCAAAATACCTAAGATAAAAGTTCATCAAAAGCAGCTGAACTCTACAAAGTATCCAGTCATTATGAGCAGAGCACACCAATCGCCTGGATCTGCAGGAGAAAAGGCGGGCTGCTCTGACTTGCAGCTACAAACACAAACAAGAACCCTTCTTCGCTGTATGTACAGATGTTGCAGACAGGAGCAGGGAAGGTTTGTTTGCATACTGTGTGTCTACGGGGGATGGATATGGGTACATATGCTCACCTGAGGTAGACCTCATACAAGAAATGCAAAGCTTAGGTTTGTTTAATGCAGTGAAGTTACAGAATACGTGCTGCACTTCCCTCTCCATCAGAGGTAGCCTGCATGCCCACTAGGGTAAGTGCGCTCCAACTCCGGCCAGATCCTGCTCCAAGTGCATTATACCCTGTCCGATGTCGGCAAAGCACTCTCAAGTTGGCACGATGACACTTTAAGGGAACTTGTCGGCAATGGAAAGGTTTTATTACATGAAGCAAACAACGTTGCAAGTCATGTCAGGCGGTCCCCACTCGCTCTGTCCCAATCGCTTAAACGGTTGTGGCTAGGACCCCTAGAGAGTGGAAAGAAGACCATCTGCTGTTAAGGAACTCTAGAGCATTTTGGATGCATTGGAGCTCTCGATAGTCCCCTGACAACATCGAAGATTTTGGCTTCAAAACCCCTGGGTTCTTATTTGGCAGCAATAGTCGGGAAACAACTGCAGTCTCATCCTGCTGTACTAGACGGATTCCGAAGGGACGTTTGTGCTGGTTAAGCGATAGTAATTGACCGGTGTATGGAAACGGAACTCCGTGTATACCGTGCTACATTTGTCAGGAAGACTAGCAGTAGGTATCAAATATCGGCTATCCCCCGTGCTGCAGATATGCAAGTTACCGGGGCTGGTAATACTCTGTGCTAAGTCACTACGCAGTACAACTGAAGTTGCAATGGGCAAGAGGAGTTATATGGAGCTGACTGAATGTTTGAGATAACCGCGCAGGAAGTGTTGGGGCGGGGCTCCTCCTGCAGGGGGATGTTGGAGACTGGCGCGAATCGCCCCTGGTAGTTGCCACCTTTGAATTCCCTTGTTTTTTGGAGTTGAATTGGGAAGTTTGGGTACGAAGCAAAAGTGGACACTGCTGATTTATACGCCCGAGTGTCTGCGTGGTAGGCGGGCTGGTGAGTGACCGGCAGGGGGAACCCCACACGGGCAGTTTAAAACTCTGAAAATGAAGAACGGAGGGGAAAAACAAACAGTTTCTGCGTTTTTTAGCGCAGCAGCAGAAGTGTCTTCTTTACCTCGCAGTGTCGCAGTGTATGCACGCCTCTCGCACTGCGACCCAGTGCTGGGGTAGCCATTGAATGTCGCTTCCCTCTGTCCTGTTTTATGGTCTGTTGCGGCCTGATTTTCTCTGTTCTTTATTCAAAAGACATTAGGCTGGGGTTTGTGCTTTAACATTAGGTGTATTCATGGCTGCAAATGGGAAAAAGAGAGAAGGAGGAGAACCTGGTGGGAGCGCACAAGAGAATGCGGGCCCTCCGTCTCCTGTCTTCTGATTGATTTGTTCCCCTTTGTGAGGGTCTACGGTTTAGGGTTTGGGGTTTGTAGATTTAAACTATTTTGCAAATTTTGCTGCACAGAAGATCCCCTCTGCAGCCAGAAGCAGCGCGTCTGCCACGAGGCTGCCTGCCCCCCGGTCTAGCTCGCCTCTTTATTTTTAGCAGTATTCTCTCTTCAGCGCCCCCCACTTTCTCCTTAACTAGGTGCAGTAACAAGAGAGTTGTATTTTTCTATCTGGGCTCTCTGGTGGTGGCCCCAAACCCCATTAGAGGCCCCTCCTCCCCCCACTCCTTTTTCGGGTGTATCGACAGGTACGTCGCGTCTTCCAGCACAAGACTCCTATTTCCCCCCATGTCCATTCTGCTCACTCTTGTGTTTCTTACTCGGGCTCCTTGGTCGAAATGTGTGGGCCATCTTTATGCTCTTCTTCCTCCCCGTAGTTTGCTGCTGGTGCTGCAGCACGTCACATTCTATGCTGCCTACTGCTGCTACAGCAAGTCACACGCTAAAAGGGGGCCCCTTACATGCCTTCTGGGGTATTGGTGCTGCATGCAATGCTAATTATTATGGGAAGGGATCAGGGATGGGTGTAGAGGCTCTCCATGTCTTTATTGAGGCAAACTCGTCTTGTGTTTTGCTGTTGATGCAGCAGCCTCGTACTTCGTAAACGGGAGGCTCACCAGCCAGCTGCTGCAGCGCCTCGTACGAACTTGGTGGCTGCGAATTCACTGAGGGAACGATGGTAAGGTAGCCACAGCAACAACAGCAGCAGCAACAACAACAACAACAGCAGCGGCAACAACACCACAATTCATTCTGTGTCTCCATCAGTGTCGCCCCCCTTTAACGATACTCATGCATAGCAAACGTATGTGCTGCTGTTGCTGGTGTGAATTTTCTTTTAGGATGCGCAGCAACAGCAGCAATTGCTGCTGCTCGCCGAGGAAGCCGCAGCGCTCCCATCGGTTCAGCAGCAGCAGCAACAGCAGCAGCAGCAGCAAAGACAGCCCGTATCAAAGTTTTCTGTGCTAGTTGAGGCGGTTCTTGCTGCTATAAATGCACCTCAGACCAACAGCAACACGCAGCTGCTGCTGCAGTTGGTGGATCTGTTGTCTACTGCCCTTGCCTTGCAGCAGCAGCAACAGCAGCAGCAGCAACAACAACAACAGCAGCAGAACAAGAATCCGGCCTTGACTCCAGGGGAGATGGATGCTGTTTTTGCCGCAGTGGAGGCCATCGCAAAACAGCAGCAGCTGCAGCAACTGCAGCAGCAAGATCAGCAGACCGCAGCGCAGCATCCCCCGGAGCAGCAGCGCGAGCTGTTGACTCGTGAGGAGTTCGCGTCTCTAGAGAAGCAGCAACAGCTACAGCAGCACCAGTTGCAGCTACAACAGCAGCACGAGCAGCAGCAATTACAGCAGCAGCAGTTGCAACATCAGCAGCTGCTGCTGCAGCAGCAACAGCGACAGCAGCAGCGGTCGCAGCAACAAGCGTCTGAGGCATTGGAGTCACCTAGCTTATCCGTATCATCGGCAGCGTCCGCGTCTTCATCAGTATCAGCAGCAGCAACAGCAGCAGCATCCGCAGCGCCGTCAGCAGCAGCAGCAGCAGCAACAGCAGCATCAGCAGCAGCAACAACAACACAGCAGCAGCAGCAGCAGCAATACAGACCTCTACCGATCCGCACATTCCTTGAGGATGTATACAAGGGGCCCCTGCTGCCGCGACACACAGAGACAGCATTAGCCTTTGGCAGCAGCAGCGAGAGCGACAGCGAAGAAAGAAGACAAAAAAAAAGAAAAAAAGAAAGAAGAGTTAATGCTGCTGCTCCTGATGCTCTATGGCACCCACACTTCCATCCACATAATCAGGTATATAAATAAATAAATAAATTAATTAATTAATTAATAAGTAAATAAATATATACGTATATATGTATATATATTCTTATAAATATCGTGCTTTCTATAACAATGCATGCATGCACCCGTGCATGCACGTATGCATGCATGCACGCATGCATGTATACTTGCGTGCATTATGTTTACATTGTTGCATGCATCTTTTGTCTTTTAATGAATATGCAAGTGCATGCATGAGTTGTTATGTACGTTATGCATATACATATACATTGTATATATATTGAGTGTATACGTATACATATATACATTGTATATGCATTGTATATGTATATTGAATATATATTGAATATATATTGAATATATATTGAATATATATTGAATATATATTGAATATATATTGAGTATACATTGTATATGTATATTGTATATAAATTGTACATATATTATATATATTATATGTGTCTATTGTATATACAATGTATATACATTGTATGTACATTGTATATACATTGAACATATTCATTGTATATACATCATTGTATACATATACATTGAATATATCCATACATAATACAAATAAATAAGTAAATAAATATAATAAAAGTATAATTAAATAGTAAATATATGTATATGTATATGAATCAATACATAAGAATTTCATGTTCGTTATCATTATAAGGGATCGATGTATCTAAGGAAACAAATAAGATAAAATAAAAATAAATAAATAAATAAATAAATAAATAAATAAATAAAAGTACATATATATAAATATATACATATACATATATATGTATATGTATATGTACATATATATATACGTATATGTATACACACACAGGAATTTCGTGTCCGTTACCGTTATAAGGGCTCAATGCGTCTAAAGACTTTATCTTGTTCTCGATTTGGTCGAGAGGGCGCAAAATTATTGACTGGCGCATTCGTCTTACGTTGGGAGGCAACGGGAAGAAAAGTAGCAGAGAGAACAAATAGAAGTCGACTAGCATTAGCCGATTTACCAGAGGATACATCACAGTTACCCTCTTATGCAAGGAAACGTACCGATAGTAAGCAACTTATATATATATATATATATATATATATATATA